TCTCACGAACTTCTCCAACACACAGCTCCTGTGACTGCAACCCCTCGCAACAATGCTTCACAGCAGCTTAATATGGCCGTTGTCTTCCATACAAATCTGAACTAATGCCTTTCAGCAATTTGAGCTCAGCATGCTTAGGTTGTATGCTTTGAACAAGAAATCGTTGAGCAAACCCATATCTCCTCTTTAAAGTAACCTGCGACGTTGAGCCATGGTTTCCCTCTGAGACGCGCCTCCTGGCCCAGGACAAGGAGGACCAGGAAGAGAGCCCTCGCCTCCATCAGAAAGGCTTAGTACCAACAAAATCCGATCGGAATGCAGGGCACCAAGCTCCAATTCTTGCTGGCAAACACAGCACCTGTGCAGTGATCAAGCCAAGCTTTTCTTGCAGAGCAGAGCAAGATCTGCACCTGGAAACCTCAAAACGCTCAAAAAATGGGATCTGGAATACAACAATGCCCTGGTTCCTGCTTGCGTCAGAACTGCAAGTGTGCCTTCTTCAGCATGTGTTAAAGAGTCTTTGGGAAACCTTCAGGTGCCAAAAAAACTTGGATCGAGCGATCAAAGGAACGGTGGTAGAAGTGCACCAAGCCCTGCAGCAACAACAACAGTTGCACAAAGGCTCTTTTTGCGGCTTGCATTTGGGTCGCAAGGCACCACGGAGCGGACTATCACACCACCCAATGTGTTCCTCTTCAATGACTCTACAAGATCATGCTGCGGCAACATGCACAGCGAAAAACGCAGAGATAGTGAAAGACGGGGGCTTCCAAGCACCTCAGACACTCAGTGTCCCCTGCGACAAACATGCTGTCAACCGTTCACAATCGGAAGTTGCGTTGTGAGGACACCCCTTAAGGGTGCTCAAATTTCGGCACGACCTCGCAAACCAGCACAAGATATGTTGGCGAAGAACATCAAACGGCAAGACCTGCCCAGGTCCAAAGTACTGCGTCCAACAAAGTGTAAGAACTTGCCCTGTCCCTACCTATCACGTCTCCTAGCATCATTGCACAAGAATTTCTGTGTGCTTGAAGTGCATACCGAATAAGGCAGAACGCACGCAGTCGTGCCTGAGTTTTGCCGAATTTGGTGGAAGGGCGAGGACGATATGGAAGAGCTCATTTGCTTCTCTAGCTTCTCCTCAACAGGGGCGAGGCCACTGTGGTGACAGCACCCACTCAAGGACGAACAGCAGACATCATGAGAATCAGGCGCAAAGCAAGGAACTTGGTCCAATGCAAACTGCAAACAGCAATGGGCTCCAACTTTTGGATCAGCTGGTTCTGGCGCTTTGCAGACGACCTGTCTCATCAGAACAAACTCCAGCAAAGGCACAACCAAACTCACCAGACCTGGATCACAGTAGAACCTATTAGTCTAAACTCCCAGGATTCCCCTTAATAAGGCCGGTAATACTCGCATATATGATCCCCTATATAACACCCTTTAAGGAGTGTAAACTGTAGCATATACATAGATATAGATCTCTCTCCCTCCCTGCAAACCTCTACATCATCCTAGTTTCCATTTCGTTGTCCATGTTCTTTTCCATTTGAATTGCGGGTAATTGCTTAGACCCCAACATATGGTTTTTCCTTGTCATAGGGACCCTCAAAAACATGCCCCAAATTTTGGGAACTCACCCCTGAACCCTAAACCCTATAACCCTAAAACCCGAAAACCCTAAACCATGAACCCTCAACCCTAAAACCCTAAAATCCTAAAATCCTAAAATCCTAGACCCTAAGCCCTAAACCCTAAAACCCTAAACCCTAAAACCCTCAACCCTAAAACCCTAAACCCTAACCCTACTATGTAGCAGCTGGCCTTGCAACGCTCAGAACCAGCCTTAGACACAGCCAATCTGCGATCGGCTCAAAAAATTGTCCAGAGGACTAGGCATGGGGCTGATGATGTTTACGTTGGAACTAGCGGTCCTCCTGTCAACTTTTGGCAGGTGGAAAAAATTATCCGATCCTCCAGAATGGGGAGAGTAATTGTTGCCTAGGAGCTCCATATCCAGCCGCGTTGCGGGCCCACGCAATTTCAAGCAGCCTGGACGGTCAGGTCAGGGTCGCAGAGGTCAGATGGTCAGACGCAAACAGGCTGTCCTTTCATCTGCACTCAAGACGAACATCACCAAGTGATGGCAGGACATGTGCGCAGAAACAAGAGAATTGAAGCGACAAGCTGTGAATGTGACAACCACATATCAAGAGGGCACAAAGACTCGTTTCAGTATCAGCTGCTGCAGCATAACAGGAGCCTTCCACAAACTCTTGAAGATCAATGGTGCCACTCCCATCCTTGCAGTAGAACATATGCGTCAGATGGCTAGCATGAACCAGAACATCGCAGGAGCATCTCACACTGTAAGACAGCCAAGACTCTGGATCCAGCAAAGTGAAAAGCCTCGCCAAGAGACAGGAATTGTTTGCTCTGCAAAGCTACAATGATCAAAGAACATGTTTCTCCAGCGAAGGAGCTTCCAAACGTTGTTTAAATCCATGTCCAGTGCGCGGAAGTACGCAGCAACCTATGTCAGGCCGGCATTGACATGGGGTTCTTTGCAGCATTTAGCTCAATGAGAAAATGACAGCATGTATGGATGGCAGCGACAATACTTTTGATAATGACAATGACCGTCCAGTGACAATCTCCTTCCGGTCTTGGAGGCTGCGCTGAAGTATTTTCACATGTATGCGCCACAAACACCACAATTATCTCTATCCGTGTGCAACCAATCATTTTCCAATTTTCGATTCAATCCAGCCTGGGGATCATTGATGTGTTGCTCAAAGGCCACAGCAGTGAGCTCTCCTTTCTTCCCCTGCAAGGATGCAACGTGTCTCAGACTGATGCACCTGAGGTTCCGGAAGCTGCTTTGTAAGCTATGTGCTTCACAGCAGGACCAAGGTTAAACAACAAACAGGAAGGTGGGCATGTTGTTGAAATTCCTGGCTGCCTGCCTCATCCATGAGGTGAAACAGATCGCATACTTGGTCTGTGTACAGCTGCTTTGACCTGGCTGTTCACATTCCCACTCGTTCAAACATGCAAGCGCTCTGCAAAGCACTAACATTTTCAACTTGCCAAACAACCGCTTTAGCTGCCAGCACCAGAATGCACGACACATGCCCAATGTCGCATTGAAACATCTAAGCGTTGAACTTGAGCTGTGTCTCAATAACCATTTCCTGCAGATGTTGACAAGTCTCAAAACAAAATCACGCTGCATGCTTCATGCTCAGCAGTATCTAGCAGCACAACCAACGTCGGCACAGACCTGTGCATGCGAACAAGAAAAATGAATTGGTACGCATGTCCTGGTCCAACGATGCAGACTCGATAGCATTCTGACAGAAAACTCCAGTTACCTTAGACCGTGAAGAAGCCGTTTATGAAGGCACCCACTCCTACAAGCCAAGGGCTTGAGGGGGCAGCCGCCAGACTGGTGCAGCATAACTCTGCTGCATACAATGTGGATCCACGGATGACGCGAGATCCGAAACCCTAAACAAACCAAACCAACTGCAGAGCGCTTACCCTATCATCCAGCGCAAAGCCGGCGAGGCGGGAAGGCACTAAGGGGAACACTCATAAAGCCCAAGAAACAGGGATGTGTGCAAATCAAGGAAAATTAGTTGTCCTCGACAATAAGCTAAGAAAGGGAAAATGATTTGTTGAGGCATGTTGAAGCCATTTTTCTTGCAGGATTTTTTTCGTACAAAACACAAGCCATGAAAGGATCTGACATTGCACAGCGACGATCTTACATTGCGACCCTAACCACACAAAGGAAAACCTGGGAAATTGATTAACGTTAACCTACCACGAAACAAAGAGGTAACAACAGAGTATTCCAGCTGGGCCAGAAAACTCAGGACGTGCATTTTGTTCTTTAAAGCATCGGAGCCTGAAAACCTACAAGCCAATTCCATGGAGAATACAGAAAAGATGAGAAGATTGAACGTGTTGGCCCCTTATATCCGACATTAACAAATTTCCTTACACTTGCACTTGCTAACACTACGAGCTGCATCACCCAGTCCTACCCCCACCCCGTTTGTTATTGCGACCGCCCAACCACTTCCGTAGACAAAAAACCCAGAATAGGATCCGGGGCAAGGTTAATATTGTCAGATCAACGTTCTGGCGTTGTGACATTGACTGGCGCAAAGGTTGGGATTACCTGAAAAATGCAACGATTAGACTGTGACACGGATGATGCGTTATGCGACGTAATGCCAAGCCGCCTCAGTCCATATGCGTGGGGCCCGACTGACCGACGTCGAGGCTGGGCTGCGTGAGATGCAAAGAAAGCATGACATCATTGCCATTTAAAATTGAAAATCGTAGAGGAGGTTCTTTGGAAATGAAAATACCAGTGGCAAAAGATAAACCGAACATCCAACAGAATCGTCACATGCTCCCATGTTTTCCACGGTGAACAAGAAGTTTGTTTATTCTGGCACCTAATCCGTCGGACTGCTATTGAAGCACCAGCACCCAACTCCTGCGCTGCTCATGTCGTGTACCGCGGCGTCAGCAAACTCAACCCGAGGCTTAAAGTCATATCCAAGCTCTTCACACAATTGATCCACAGCACGCTCCAGTGTTTGGCAGTCTTTGCGCACAGGCGCTTGTGATACCAGTCATGCCCGGCTTTTGGCGCTGTGTTTTCTCTGTGAAAACAGCTTGCTGCAGATTGCACCCGCATATCTTCCATGCGACACCTACGCCTGACCAGGCCCTGCAGGTGGTAACTTAACATGCACGGCTTTCCTGTACCCTTTGCAGGCAAAGCCCCCAAGCCCCCTGCCAAAATCAGACAAATGTTCCACCAGCCGGTCACGTTTCCAACGTGTCACGCCGGTCCTTGCCCCAAGGGCGCGCCAGGTCTGACAAAGATGATGCTATGCCCTTCCTGAAACAAACGCGCATCGGCGCATGGGCGCCCTAAATCATGAGCCTGTCGCACCTGAGCTCGCCAGCAGCTAGGCAAACCAGGCCCAGTGCTACGAACAGGGAATAGCAGCAAGCTCAGCAAAAACGTCATGTCCACGATTGGACAGCTGTCAAAAGCTTCAAAAGAATCACGCCGAATGTTTCTAGCAGAATGTGCAACTCCCCCTCATATGACAAGCCTTACAAAACCTCTACGACTTTTCTTGGACTTGTGGAAAGAATGTGATGGTTTTTCTTCAATCCCAGGAGGCGTGACCAAGTGTTCAGTCCGCCTCAATTGCCCGTGCTGCTCTTGACAAATGCTGGACGACCAGCTTCTGTAATCCGTATATGTCCTGTGCACAATGCGAAGGTATTATCTAGGATGGCGTTCGTAATGGGGGCGCAAGGGCAAAGAAACCAAATAGTGGCCAAGGATGCCCTTGCAGGATATTGCGGACAGACTTCTTGTTGTCCACACTGCACGCAACATGTTCGCATCCGCTTGGCAAAGTCTCTGAAGCAACCACACGGGTATGTCTAGACGATGAAATGCCTAATTAATGATGGTCACCAGAAAGCAGATACTTTCCTTGGCCAATTGCCCCAAGCCGACAAACCAGAGCACCATGCAACAAGCAACATTCACAGCCATCACACACTATCCATTCCTGCGCGTGCGCGGATCTGACGCGGGCTTTGGCCCGAATCCGTACCACACTCTGGACACTGAAAACGACCGTAATTTTGAAATGTCTTCTGCTCAGTCTGTTTAGCCACGTTTGGCGGGAGTGAATTTGATGCAAAATTTGCCACTGTCTCGGACCGTGTCAAACCTGTCAAGCATTGCAATAAACGACGCGAAAATATCTCTGCCTTAATTGCAACGCTGGCGATCTGGTATTGCCCTTCGCCACACGTACTCCCAATAATCCTTAGCCAAGTTGAGGGCTTCGTTTGTACAACTTATGGCCTGTTGTCTTTGCTTGTTTGGAAAAATCTAGCCCTCGGATGGCTGCGCGGATTGCATGCATCAACAGCGAAAACAAGCAGAATCGGATGTTTCCATCTTGTGTTTCAAATTTGGCATCATGCATCACATCATTGCTGCTTTGGATCCTGCAGCTGTTCCGTGGTGTACGCGGGCTTCTGTTGCGCTGCACCTACCAAATGCCCAGGGGCCCAAGCGCCACCAAGCGTACGCATCCACCACACCCAGTCAATCTTGCATCCCGAACACCTTCTTTGCATCTAAAACCGCCAAACCTTCATGTCAGCCTTTTTTGCATGTCGGCCACACGAAGTGCAGCCATGAGTCTCAACTGTGACATGGAATCCACCAGATGAACAGGAGGGATTAGCCCGTGGGGGAGTTGTTTCTGAAAATACATACGAAACAGCGTTTGACAAAAAAAACACATACAATTTATCAAGTTTGTTCATAGGGTGTGCAACAGTGCAACACGCACCGTTTGTTTCGCGACAGCTTCCGGATTAAAACTACTGAGCTACCCTTCAAGCACAAAATGTTTTGAAACCATTCAAGATCATGTGCCGGCCACCCCAATGTCAAACCTTTAATGTTCACCCACCATGCTCCGATGCAACATGTCATGTTCCATGTTGTTGACACGAAAATCACAAATTCACAGCTCCTACACCAACTTTCCTAACTTGCAGTGTGTTTTCGCACGTTGTCAGGTGTCTCTTGGATAGCCACGTCGCAACATTGAGAACTGCAAACTCCACCAGCGCAATGTATATCAGGAACCTGGGTGCAGCAACGCTTTGTCAGACAAGCATTGAGACTTCCACAGGGCCAGCAAAAAAGCGATACAACCCCATGATGAAGGCAACGTAGTAGCAATACTTGACAATGATAATAGCAGCAATACTGGTGGTGGTAGCAGTAATAGTCGTCATAGTAGTCCTAGAAACAAATAGCAACAATAACAATAGTAATGACAGTAATAAGTCCCTTCCCGACTATGTTGGTTGATATTTTCACTAGCAGAGCTTTTGTTGGATGGGGGGCGGCGGTGGAAAGAGGAGGTTGGGGAGGAGGAGGGAAGGGAAGGGGGTGGGGGGGCGTGGGCGGGAAAAGGGGGGGGGGCAAGGGCAGGAGCTTGAAGACAAGTTCTTCAAACTGGCGTTGCCGATTCTTCGGCCACCATGTTTATGACTAACTGGGATTGCTCTGGGTGATTGCCAGTGAGTGCTCCATCTTCGGAATGTGGCGAAACTGCTGCAGATTACCTCCTGCGTTTTTCTTTGCCTAAATCCAGCAGCGGTAACCATAAAGCCTCGGCTCAAACCGCAATGCGACCCGGACCCTTGTCCTTCAAAAAATGCAGGCTCACAGTATTCTAGGTCGATGAGGCAAATTGCACGATTCTATGAGTCATTGTAGTACCTGTTTACTGTGGAGATCTACAGCTGGA